ATAGATAATTATTGCGTATAGTACCAATTGAATTAAGTTATTAGTTATTAGTATCTTACTATTCAATTTAAAATTATAACATTTTTATTTAGCACTTATTCATTTCCTTGGGCATTTAGATATTATAACTTATTGAAATGTTAAAAATCATATTGAAATTATGGAAAGTTAGATCTAATAAGTGAAAACAATAAAAATATTAAGAAAGAAATAAGAAAAAGCGGAGAAAATAAATCGTCAATAATTGTTAAATAGTTTGAGAAAAAAAAAGGATACAAAAAATACATAATAAATATATACGTTTAATTGTCTTTTAATCAGGAGTTATTCAATTCAAAAATATTCAAATAACCCGTCCATTCTGTGACTTTGAGAATTCTTTGTTTTTTTCCTCTACTTATTTATAGATAAGAGGAAAAGTTTAGATCTCAGAAATGTACAATATTTTATGTGACAATTTAAGGACATGCTGATTCCTTTTTTGTTATTATTTCCAATGTTGCCAGATTGGCCGTTTTTCCGAAAATGTTGGTTCAATTTATATTACGTTAATTTATAAAAACAAAAATAATTTAGTTTATCTTATTCTTTAATTTTTTTATTTTAATTTATTAGATTTAGTTTTATTTTTTTTTTTTTATTATTTTATTAAATTTTGTTTCAAGTTTATTTATTAAATCAATCATATATTTTAATTATTGTATCCTCTTAATAGTATGTGAAATTTTTAATAGAATAAACAACTTGCTGTAATAATTGGGTTTTATTATAACAAATATGATTCAAACGAAATCATTGAACATTACTTAAAATTAAACAAATGTATTATAAAAAACCGATTTCAAAATCGTGCAGATGCCATTAAAAATTGAATTTTTTTTTAATTTTCTCATAGATCATCAGATTCTGACCAATTGTAAATTAAACTACCCCTGATGTATCCCCTTTCTAACAAAAAATGAATCATAGAAATCAAACAACGTGGTAAAAAATTATCGCTGAAAATACTTTAAAAATTAAGAGTTTGATTTTCTTATGGGCCCCATTACTAGATATTCACCAAATTTACATGGGTCTACCCCTGAGTTACCCTCTTTCTAATAAAAAAAGGAATCATAAAAAATCGGACAACCTAGTAAAGAATTATTGAAAACCTCCTTCTTTTTTTGAAGTCGGTTAAAAACTAAAAAAATACATCCACTCACCATTCGATGATTATGTAATTCCTACTTTCAATTGAGATTAGCAATGAGAATTATGAAGTTGATCTATCCTAGGAAATATAACCCCTTGGATATCTATTTCAAACTAAATTTGACATATGACCATCATATGGTTAAAATTTACTTTAACAGACTTTAACAAAATAATAAACATTAAAAATTATGCAAATCTTCTATTGAAGAAATTATAAGAGTATTAAAAAATTAACATTAACTAAAACAATATTTAAGTTCATCACACTCAATTATATAGTTTTAAAACACAAGGATCGTTCTTTTCAGGAATCGATGCTATTCGCTCCATGCGTGAAAGCAGTGCCAATTCATTTATGTATTAATGGACTATTTTTGCGTATACTGACAATACAGTTTTTAATAGAATTCGTAATTAAAAAGTATGTTAGTTTTAATAAAAGTATATGGATTTGTAAAACTAGTGAAACATTAATTTATTATATATTTGTATTGCTTAAACTAAAAAAAACTAAGTATAATCAATAAAAATCAATAATAAAATATAGACAGGCAACAGAATTTACTGAAAAATGTATGAGAAGTTGCCTAACTCTAATAAGTTGTCTTTAATGAATTAACCTATTCTGTCAAAACAAAAAAATACCATTAAATAGTAGCGTGAAGTTAAAATGTATAAACAGAAAAATTATTATTTACATTTTCATTTTGTTCGAAAGAAAACATAGAATGAATGATTAAAACTGGTTTCCTAGCAGTAAGTCACAAAATTGCATTTCAGCCACATACAATAATCAAAGTCAGAAACCTAGTTATTGTTGAACATTTAGGATTGAAGGGATGTTAAAGAACATCGTGAAATGATAATTTATTGTGTATTTAAAACCTTTCAAGTTTCTGATGTCTACTGCTATTTCCAGTATTACTGTTATTTCCAGTATTACTGTTATTTCCAGTATTACTGTTATTATTACAAAAGTAAAGCTTATTGTACAGCTATCTATTTATTTCTTTGATTTAATTTCCACTTTGCTACTGAAATTTTTTATAATTTACACTGATTTTTTGCTATTATTTTCACAATTTACAACACAGCAACTCCGGTTGCTTATAGTATTGTTTTTACCTATTTTTTGAAAAAAAGTAAAATTTATACCTGCCAAAATTACAAAATATCGCTCTAAAATGCACGAATTATCCGCAGCTAGCCCTAGTATCGCTTTTGGTTCCCCTACCACTGAGCGAATATGGTTCACTGCTGCTTGTGGATCAGAAGAAAAACTGCTGCTCGAAGTTTTAATGTAGTTCCAACGAACTGCCAGACGATTGATTTCCAGAAAGTCACGTAATATTGCGCTTTCGCTACTATGACTAGGTATGCTTATTGCTTATTTTATGTTTAATTGACTCAACTATCTGATTTTATTCAATTAATTTATGTTTTAGATTTCCACAATCAAAAAATGAGAACCAATTAGATACATGTTCCCATATCTTATGTCAAGTTCACAAGAACTAATTATACTAGTTGTCCCATTTTATACTTCTTTTTATAGATTTTAGTAAAAAAATAATTTAATTAAATTAAAATATTTACTGGGATTTTGGTTTTATTTGATTAAAATGGATATCATTACAATATATGCTGTTAAAAAAATAAACCAATTCAACACATACCCCCAATACGAACAGAAAATGGGATGTGGGCAAAAAGTTATAAACAAAAAGTTGATGCCTTTGCTAACTATTTAGAACTCATTTTCCACCCGAACCCAGGAGAAGGTAAAGAAACTGAAATGGTTTGTCCATTTCAATTTCTTCAAGGGAAAGTTAGTGATATAGAGAAACTATTAGTAACTACAGTGCAACCTCTTTAATCTGAACACCTAATTGTCAGACCTTGTTCGGATTATCGAATTGTTCGGATTAACGAATATACAATAAAACACCTCTTACACATTTTTAGACCTTTAGATCTATGTATGTATATTGATTTTTGTACATTTAAATGCATTATCAAACTACATATGGGCGACGCGGGCCGCGCTGCAGGTTTTTTCCTATCAGCGTTCGGATTGCAGAGGCGGCGTTCGGACTATTTCGCATCACGATTTGCGTTCGGATTAGCGTAATTCGGATTAGCGTAATTCGGATTAGCGTGGGTTCGGATTATCGAGGTTGCACTGTAGTCCTAAAGAAGAACAAAGGGAAATAAAAATAGTATTAATGTTAAAAAAGCTCTCGGGTTCGATTTGATCACAGGAGAGATACTAAAGAAATTACCACGAAAAGGTTTAGTAAAACTGACCAATATAATTAATGCAACATTTAGACTTCAACATCTTTCACTACTATGAAAAACTGCTGAGGTAATAATGATACCCAAACCGGAAAACCCAACAATGAAATAACATCTTATAGACCAATCTCGCTTCTACCTGTGATATTAAAACTATTTGAGAAATTGCTCTTAAGAAGACTAAATAAGATAATCGACAAAAAACAACTTATCCCGTCTCATGAATTCGGCTTTCGGGATAAACATTCTACCATTGGCCAAGTTCATCGCATAATAAATAAAATTCAGAATTCTCTAGAAAAAAAAAACATTTGTTGGGCAGTATTTCTTTTTATCTCAAAAGCCTTCGATAACGTGTGGTATGCATCAACGCCTACTATTTAAAATAAAGAAATTTTTCCCGATCCCATATGTCCAACTACTAGAATCATATCTATCGCAGCGAACATTTAAAATTAAAATGGAAAATGAATACTCTAAACACAAGTCAATAAATGCTGGCGTCCCACGGGGAAGTGTTCTTGGACCAGTAATACATTTAATATACATCTATGATATTCCAGAGATAAAAAATATAAAATTAGTCACATTCGCTTAACCATAGGATCAACTATAGAAGAAACAACAGCTAATCTTCAAGGCGGAATCAATAGCATACAAATCTGGTCTAAACACTGGCGCACAAAAATTAACGAGGAAAAATCCGCTTACATTAACTTTACCAATAGAAGAATAGAATATATATATATAATAACATTATTATACCATATAAGAAAATAGCAGAATATGTTAATGATTAGTATTGAACACAGGTGTAGATTTAAAATTTTGTAGTAATTTAGGTTATTTTAAAAATGTTGATTAATCTTGTAAGATTAGGTGCATTCGAACATATTAAAAAAAATACAATATATACCACATTTGAAGTTATGAATAATCCTTCATTCATTACCTTGTACATTGTTTAGTTTTTTGATTCTACCTGTTCAACGGTATGCCACTTGAGATTTTATGATTGAAAAAATTCTTGATTTGACAAAATATCAAAGTGGTACCGGCATGTCAGGCAAAATTTCTGGTATATGGGTACAGTAGTAGGCTTGTCAACGTCGGTGTTTAATCCTCGAGGTTAGAAATACGCTAATGTTAAATATATTAAAAAAAACTTTTTTGTTTCGATATAGGTCCTAAGACAAACAAATTTTACTGCGGCTCATAATTTTATAGTTCATCGAACAAACCACATTTTCATATCAAATCCATTCCATGATTACAGACTTGTCAATGTAAATAAGTTATTTTTTATTTATGGCGCACAAGTTTTTTCTAACTCATAATGTGAGTTCCGAACCCTTCATATACAACCGCTTCCAATTTTTAATTAATTTATATTTATTTTTGTTTCTAATTTGTCAGATTTAATTCAGATATTTCTGCCAAATATTCCTAGTACACAGAAGAAAATAATATACATAATATTAAGTTTTTTGTCAGTGATTACTTACCCCAATTCCAGCGACCTTAACACAAATATGGAACATTTGGCACTGGGTGTCTACATCTGCATAGTATCCTCCCAAGATTTTTTCCCTACAGGAAAAAGTCGTATGGGGCATGTTCTCCAGACTGTATGTTGGAAATGGCCTGTGGTTTAAAAATATGGCTTGGGACCAGCCCGTACTTAGCCCTGTAAAATTAAATGTTATAATTTTATTATAATTAATAAAGATACAGTTGTACTACAAACTAAGTACATTATAATAGTTACAGGGTGAATCTTAAGTACTTCTCGATATCATAGTGGGTAACAGAAACTCTTCTGTCAATTAAAAACGTCAAATATTGGAGATGATTTCATGCCGATATAAGCAAAGTTATCTCATACAAAAACTTCTCTTATGGAAGATAGAACCCCTTGAAGATGAAAAGGTCGTTTTAAAAACTCAAAATCACCTATCTTAACAATTGGGAAGTGAACATGTCCCAGATAGCTCAGTTGGTAAGAGCGGTGTGTGTAGAACACCGATAGGTGGGTTCGAATTCCCCCGTGGGCAACCTTTTTTAATTTTTCATTAAATTTGTTTTCACCTTGAAGGTTTAAAAATAATTTTCATTATTTTGTAGGAGTAATTTTGGGATTTGTTTGGGGATTTCCAAGAGATTTTTCATAACGCTCTTTTAAAAATCAAATTACATTACAACATAAACTAAATAGTGATGAAATTATATATCTTAAGTACATTGTAACGATTTTCTTAAATACAAATATTACTTAATACAGTTATAACAATTATTTATAATTAATGCAATTTTAAACGGTTAGAAATAAACATTACGCGACTGAAAGCAGAAGCAACTACGTTATGTCAAGAAATTATATAATAGGAATTTAATACCTAAGAATGAGATTTATTTAAAGAACATAATGTGGACATAATATAACGAAAGACAGCGGGAGAGGTTAGTTATATTAACTCATGAAAAAGGACCATAAACAGAATTTTTTGAAAGGAGAATTAAATTATTATTTTTCCCTACTTTTTGTAGTCTTGAGGTAGAGATGATTTAAGAAATGAAACGGCAGGGTGGTCATCCCCACTTTGCCCGACTCAAAACCACATAGCAACTATAAATGAGAGAATAAATTTGACGTTGGATTCTTTGATCTAGGTTAAACTGGTTTAATAAATGGTAGATATTTTGAATGAAAAATAGTACTACATTTAAAAACTCTAATAGTATTTTGTAAGGTCCGTACTTTAACTATTAAAACGGGATATAATTTTTTAATTAAAAAACCGACTTCAAAATCGTGCAGGTGCCCTAAAAAAATTGAGATTTTTTATTTTCTCATAGTTCATCAGATCCTGAACAATTGTATGTGGAACTACCTCTGAGGTATCCCCTTCCTAACAAAAAAAGAAACATAAAAATCGGACAACGTGATAAATAATTATTGCTGAAAATAGATCAAAAATTAAGAGTTTGAGGATTTTCTCATAGACCTAATCACTAGATTTTAACCAAATTTTAATGGAACCATCTCTAAGGTACTCCCTTACTAACAAAAAAAGAATTATAGAAATCGGACAAAGTAGTAAATAATTACAGCTAAACATACATTAAAAATGAAGAGATTGAGGATTTTCTCATAGACCCAATTATTAGATTTTGACCAAATTTATAGGGACCACCCCTAAGGTACCCCTTTACTAACAAAAAAAGAATCATAGAAATCGGACAAAGTAGTAAATAATTACAGCTAAACATACATTAAAAATGAAGAGATTGAGGATTTTCTAATGCACCCAATTATTAGATTTTGACCAAATTAATATGGGACCACCCCTAAAGTATCTGCTTTCTAACAAAAAATTAATCATTGAAATCGGACACCGTGTTAAAGAATTATCGCTGAACATACATAAAAAAAAATATCGCGACGAATTGAGAACCAAAAAGAAAAGAATCTTAACTTGCCATTATTTGCTTTGTTTGGACAATTTGTTTACAGCACAAACCATACCACTTTATTTTTTCCTCGTTATATTACACGAACTAAATTAACGAACTGCACTTACAATATAAATAAATAATTCAGATTTTTACAATTAATGTTCTTGTTAAATAAATGCAACTTAATTCAAAGCAAAGGCTCTAAATGACGACCTTCAGCTATAACACAGTAAGAATCTTCTCAATAACGATCAAAGTTATATGAGACATCTCATCATGAGTTTTTTAGAAATTTTGTAGTCTATTTTAAAATTCTTTACTTTTTAATATCCGCATAAAAAAAACATAAGAGGCACTAAATCTGGCGACCCATATGGCCATTCGATTAATTCTCTTCGCCTATTCCACCTGTGGAGTTTCTGGGACGATTCAATTTTAGATCGTGAACCATGAAACGTAAAAAAATTAAATGGAGTTGAAAACTACTGGAAGGAAAGTACATTTGCTCTCAAAGGATATAAATTTAAAACTAAATTACTAATTGCCTTATTGACATAATAAAACTAACTGAAACAAGCTCAAAAACTACAGTATCACGTAATTGTCCACAATATCGGTTACCGACTGAAGAACATCTATCTGAAAAAATATTGTCCAAGAGTGTTTTTAAAAATATTACAGTGTTGTCAAGCAATAATTTTTTTTTTAAATTAGAGAATGATGCAAACTCAAAGTTAAATTTTCATAATTTAGATCGGTTTAAATTGAATTAAAAATTGTTTAATACACTTATAAGATACTAAGCTAACGATTGGTGGTGATAAAACTGGATTATTTTATACAGAGTGTTTTGAAACATGTCTAAAATATGGCTACTTTTAAGTTCAGTTTACTCAATTTTTTCAACACCCTATATATTGTTTCAGCATACAATTTCTTATAAATTTGCCTATACAACGATACCAATATGTTAACCAATAATACATATATACAGGGTGTCCGATCAGCGCGTAATTGATTGATAGTTGTTTTATTATTAGAAATACGAAGAAATTTTTAATATATAAGTTGTATGAACATATGTAAAAATTATTGTGTTTTGCTTTAAAAATATATAAGTTTGGTCTGCCCCTCGTTTATAAATCACCCTGTATATTTAAGAATAAACATGGTCATACAATTTTTATATATATATTTTTTTCGTATTTCCAATAATAAAACAGCTATCGATCAATTACGCATTGATGTGGGTTATTGGCTAACATATTGATATCGTTAGAAAGGTAAATATAGAAGAAATTTTGTGCTAAAATAATATACAGAGTGTTGGATTTGAAAAATTGAATAAATTGAATAAGTTGAACCTAAAATTAGCCATATTTAGGACATAATTCAAGACACTCTGTATAAAATAAACCAGTTCTATCACCACTATTCGTTAGTTTAATATCTTATAAGTCTGTATTTCAAACAATTTTGAAATCATTGTAAGCCTACCTAAATTATGATAATTTAATTTCATAAAAAAATCAATTGCTTGGCAGACCTGAAATATTTTTTAAAAAAATTCTAGGGTTGAGTACAGTATTACCAAATTATTCTAAAACTTAAATAAAATACAGGGTTTTATATTTAAAAAAATATATATTTTTATTTTCCAGACAAAAACGCAACAGCCTGTAGCTCCATAAATATTTTTAAAATACGTAATTTTTAAACCCATATAACTTTTATTTGAAACTTGTTTGCATGTTAATAACACAAATTGAAATATTGAACAATTACACACTAACGGGATACCCAGATATAAAAATCTGAGATGACATACTCAAGGACTAATCTATTTATATGGAGGATAAATAAAAATTACACATAGCAATATCGTGGTGGGGTATAGAAATTGTAGTAGTTGGAAGGAATGTTATTGTTTAATGTCAGAAGGAATTTTTGGAATTTTAAGAGTTGTTGGATTTCAATAGTTAATTGTTTATCATATTTTAGATCAGTAGACCCACCCATCTTTGAGATTATCTATTGACTGGAAATCCTAAAGCCGAAAGGAGGTTTCCATATCACTATCTTTGTTTACTTCCATTCACTTCTTTTATAATAACGGAGATATAGAGTAATTATCTTGGCTACGTAACAAAAGGGGCGATACCTGCGCACCAAAGCAAGGGTTCGTCGGAGAAAGAGGCTAGGACTCGCGTATCGGGGACAACACTAATGATTTGTAGTGCGCATGTCGTACGCGTTTTATTTGTACATTGGTCTCCTTTTGACATAGTAGGTGAGCTGTGTCCAGGCCGTTGGTGTTTACACCGGTCGGCGTAGCCAGGTATGGATTAAAATTTTCTGGTCGCGGCGAAGACGCCACCCTACGAGAAGTAGTTGCTTCGTCTTCTTGTTGTTACGGCATTATTATTTTTTCTTCATGTATGTGAAATTTGCTTCTAAGGTTTATAAAATACTACTGCTAGTCACGGCGTAAATGAAAACAAACAAGACGCATTCACACAAACGCCTCCCACCACAGTAATTAAAAATCATTAGTGTTGTCTCGATACGCGAGTGAGGCTAGGCACGAGATTAATGTGCATATACGTACTCGCAACAGTTAAGCAGTTATTTCTCCGGTCACGTCGTGGATGTATGACGGCTGGGACTTTCCACCATGAGCTGCATGACTATAAAACAGCTGACTAGCATTTAACCGTTGACGACGTTGAATTAATGACGGTGAATGAGTGAATGAATGGAAAAGTAGTGACACATACGAATAGTGGTACAATAAGCGGCGGGCTGCTGTGCTGACCCAAACGGATTAGGGTGTTAGCACGACGAATTTCGATTAGAACATAAAAATTATGAGAGTCATCTATAGTGGGCTTTGATACTGCTGAATTCAATGTGGATTTTCCTTATTTCAATAACGACACGTCTGATAATTAACATGAGCGTTTAGAAGAAATGTAGCTTCATCCGAAAAAGCATCTTTATTTTTTTCTATTATAATTTCGCAAAATTCAATTCGTCAAATCGTCTTCAAGAAGCTTTAGAACTAAAATAACTTCATAGCTTTTCTAAAGTTGCAAGAACTGTTGACTGGTTGATATTTTAATCTAATTCTACTTGTCATTTGTCATCAAGTCAAGTGGTATGGGGATTCTCTTCAGTAGAATATCTTGATTCTTATTTTATAATACCCTTTTGGAGCTTTCTTACAGAGCT